AATCTCTTCACTCACAAGCAAGCTGAACACCAGTGATCAGGCTGCGTCTATTCATTACCCGTATCATCGTTGCATTAATTATACTGTTGTACTGTTATGCCAATCTCTTCACTCATAAGCAACCTGAACACCAGTGATCAGGCTGCGCCTACTCATAACCAGTATCATTGTTACATTAATTGTAGAGTTGTATTGTTATGATTGTTGTATAATTATGATAAACGGTTTAATTACCCAGGTTTGAGGTTTCCGGCATTGTGACTACCATTTACAAGAAGTCCCGCGTGGCATACACAAAGGCGAGCAGCAAACTCCGACCGAAACATCTTAACTACTTGGTATTCCTATATAATCTAGCCGTCCCACCATAATTCATTTCAATGACCAGTTCGTGTTAACCGGTTGTTACAACCGGAGATAACACTTGCAATACCTGGAAGTCATTTGTGCTGCTATCGAATTCAAAATGAAAGACTGTCTTCTTGGTTTATGGTGGGAAGCGGTCGCAGGATACTGATGCTATCTACTAATTATGTTTCGTATTGATTGGCATAGATGAAAAGAGATGTATCTTTCTTAGAACGGAGGCTGTTGCTGTTTAGTGAGATGGATGACGGAAGGTAACAGTAATGCGTTCATATTTCGTAGTATTCATAAGCCAACATGAGATTGTTGGAAAAAGTTGCTTCTTGGGGTTACTAATGCCTTCTGGAATCCATGCTGGCTCCTGAGCCACAATATATCTCATTGGGTGCCCAAGGCAGATGTTTCTTACGGCGTGGATTTTCGCAATAGCGTCGAGTCGAATTCATTGGAGTGGAAGCACGAGTGGTGAACGGAAGTACTGCTACGCTTGACGTTGTTTTTGGTTTTAAATGTGGCTAATGTTGATATCCACAATTAACCGCATCATAAGACAACGTTCTCTTCAAGCGACGCATACCGACAAGCGTCCGTTTTTGTAAAAATGGAGAACGTCGTTCACCTTTCTTCAGTAACAAGAAAATAACGCCTCTAAGCGAATTTCCATAATCTGCCTCTCAACACGGCCATGCATTTTGGCTTCTAAAGGCCACTGTGAACTCGGTGCACGCCTGTTCCGAATTTAATTTCGTGGTTAGACGACGTGCATCACTCACCTCGATACACATTGTGCACATACCTCGCCGTTTGGCAGAGCAGCAACAGTTCTGATTCCTTCACATTGTTAACCAGTACACAACCTCGTACACCAACGTTTAACAATCGGATGACCATATCGTCGATATCCATACGAACAGCCATCGTTTGCTGAAAATACAATGTTCCGTGAAAATGTTTGGAAAATATGCACACCTTTTCGCTTTGTTGCGGCGCCACTGTTGAACAGTTGCTATCAGTCGGTAGCACATCTCAGTAGTAAAGTTCTATTTAAAGTAGAATGGTGACTGAGGCAAGCACATCTGTTACTTACTGCTTAGAAGCCGGTAGTGTGTAAGGAGAGAGCCAAATAACTATGACGACCGCAGCAGTAGAAATGGTACTTGCTTTGTAAGTGGTCTGCTTTAAATAGGCAAATGGAAAACAACTGTCCTATGTTATCCGATAAGCTCACGTATAACGAGAATTACAATACTGTGAAAACAATAACATCATAAATGTTTTTCAGTATGGTTTGTGGCTAGTGTCATTTCTTGTCGCTGGACCAACCATGCGTGTAGCCTCGATCATTTGCCTTCTTCTCTCAGAATGTCCAAAAGTTTTATTGCACTTTAAGTATAGGCTGAGCCTGTCTTGTTTGTATTCGTATTTACTATAAGCGCTCAAAGACTCCCAGAGAGTATTGAAACGAAGCAGATTAGAGCAAATTTTTCATTATTTTATATCATCCGTCTTCACCTCCCACATTCGGATCCATTGTCCACGGATACCTTCCAACTTTTTACGCGTGGCCTCGGTTGCTGCTTAACCGTTTTCATTTCATTCTGAATGTCGTAGAATGCTGGTCGTGCAGTTCTCCCCGGACCCATGGGATGACCGGGCTGGAGCGTTCCCAGTTGTATTGCGGAAAGTGGTTTCTTTGCCGGATCAGTTCGGTACCATTTTCCCGACACCGGAAAGATGCGAGGCTTGGTTGGCCCAGGGCGGAATCGAACTAGGACTATGCTCGTGATGGCGAGCATCACTACCACTGTGCTATCCGACCTTGATCGAAGTGAAAATGATGAAGCTCTGGAGTTCAGTAGAAAATGTTACTCAAGATACTTGTCGATTTCTACTTTTAATTAGCTCATGTACACATGGAAAAGACCGATGTACTCAACTAGTTTCTGAAAATCATAGTGGTAATTTGTCAAAGGGTTATTAATACTCGTTAGTCTGCAATATTTGAGGGTAACACTTCAAATAAAGTGCAGTTAGTCAATAAGATTCTTCTTTTTTGAAACATTCTGTGTATGAGAGGAAGAAATGTTGAACTAACATGTATGGATAAATAAAAGGATAAAGCTCTTGGCGTTGATCAATCTCTGAGGGGTGGAATGCTCGGTGCACCATGTGCGCTGATCAATTCCATGTGTCTTAAAGGCGCCTCCGACCACTGCCTCACACGCCCCTGACGTGTATGAAACTGTAGCAAACTTACGAATTAAATGGTTTTGTTTGGAATCGTCGCAAAATTATTCTTTTGGACCTTGCTCAATAAGAAGGATTT